CTGACTGTGGGGAGTACATGTGAGGCAGTGCTCTCCCCTCCCTGCTGTGCTCTTACCTGTGTGTCCAGGAAGGAGCTGCTGGCCTCAGGGGTGCCAGCACTGAGGGTGTCCTGCATGAAGCAGATGGTGTTTGTGACCCCAGCCATTCCTCAGATCAGCTTGGAGCAGCTCCCTCACGGCCTGGTTGGGTGGCTCTGGACTGGTTCCCAGCATGGCTGTGGTCCTTGGAGCAAGCAGGTGCAGGTGTGACCCTCCCCACCATCCACAGCTGCGTGGCCACTGGCTTCTCAGGCTTGTGCTGCCAGGACCTGTCCTGGGCCCACCTGTGGCTGTTGGATGGTTTCTTTGGTAAAATAAATGGATTCTTGTACTGCTGCCTCCAGTTGGGCCCCAGGTGTTTGCAGAGGTTGCTCAGGGACAAGCCACAGCATCTTGGCTGCTGCTGCCCTCCCCGTGAGGCCCAGCCCCTGGACAGATGCCCTTTTGGGCCCAGCTCAGGGCAGTAGAACTGCCTACAGCGCCTCTGCTTTCTGCCTCCTGCTACCAGGCAGGTGAGTGGGGCTGGCCAGGCTCTGCTCCTACTCACACTCAACTGGTTGAGTGTCTAACTGTGACCAGCCTTGCTAACCCGTCCTCCCATCATTTCCCACTGAACCAATAGGCAGAACTGGATTCCTGTGAGGCATCCAGGGCCCTACTTTGGCCAGGCCCTGTGCTCGGTGCTGGGAGACACAAGACACAAGCCAGAGCTGCTTCCCCTGCCTCCACCCCTGCCATCTTGCACTCTGGTGCCTTGTTCTGCAGCCTGTGTGGGCTGGCCTTGCTCCCTACTCTGGCTCTGGAACAGCTAGGCCACCTCATGGCTTTGTTCCTGTGCTGAGACTGAACCCCGTCAGTCACCAGAAACCTCCTTCTCTCATGCCACCTCCCTGGATCCAGTCTCAACACGGAGACATGCTGGGTGGGGCTGGTTCTCTCAGGCTGTGCTCTATTTTGGGGGTTGAGATTGGGATAAGCTGGGATGGAGGGGAGAGCCTGCTGCCCCAGCTCCATGACCACCACCCCTGCCAACCCCACCTTGGGCACCCTGGACCATCAAGGGGCTTCTTCACTCCAGATGGCTTGGGCCAGCTCCCTTAGCTGGGATCCCAGAAGGGATCTCTCTCCTAAAAATAGGGGTTCCTCCCACTGATGGTCAGTCATGGTGACCAGGATGGGCAGCAGTGGGGCCATGATAGTGCCAGCTACTTGGGGATTGTGACAGAAGAGGATGACAGGTGCAAAGTACATTGGCATGGCTGGTTTCAAGGTGACATGCAGGGAGGTGGCCAGCTGGCCCAAGGCTCTAGGAGGGAGGATTGTTCACACAGTGCTATGAAATAGGGGGGATCTGTGGGAGGAGGTACAGGAAGACCTTATCACTGCACCTCCCTGATAATCCTGGGACAGTGAGAGCAAGAGACTGGACAGAGGCCAGTAGGAGTGGAGCCATTGGGTGGAGCCATTGAGTGGAGCATTGAGGTCGTCTGAACCTCAGGTGAGGTGCCTGCCCCTGCTGTGGTCACCCAGCCCCTGCTTGTGCCAGGTGTTGCACAGAGAGAGGGGAAAAGCTCCCGATCCAGGGCTTCTGGGCTGGCAGCCAGACTCATGCCCAGGCCGCCTGAGCTCGTGCTGCCTGCCGCCCGCTGAGGCGCTTGTTATGTGAGGGAGAAAAGGCGAACCCCAGGCACCAACTGCTACTGAAAATGATACTTTCAAAAAATATTTAATAATAGAAGATTTCAAAATACATCATAAAATGAATAAATCAGATCACCAAAGTGCATAGAGTGTGGACCTAACTGTAGTAATCCATACATCCCGTGTAAAGACCAGTGTGCCAAGGCCGGGGAGGGCTCACAGCAGCTCATCGTGTGCGGGGTGATGGGGGACTGTCATCTGTTTTCTGTTATTTTCAAAAATTTCCCTGGCACTCGTGTCATGTTTTCTTAAGTGAGAAAAAAATAAAAAATAATATTTTTTAAAAAAGGGCCAAATGCTTGCTCAAGGCTTCCCAGTAAGAAGAGAAACCTTTGATGGAAAGTCCCCCTCGGCTTCCTGTGAGGATACAGGGGGCACCACACTCACCAGCAAGGCACGGGTGGGCCACGCCTGCCCTTCATCAGGAGAGACCCCAGTCAGTGCTGTCCCTGTGCTCTCCCAGGAAGGTGAGAGTGCAGAAGGAAAAAGAGAGAGTGGATTTTTTGAGGTAAGTCCAGCAGCACCTCCAGGGCCCATCCCAGAAGGAGAGGGTGTTCCTGGGAACACTGGCCAAGGGGGCCCACAGGAAAGGTCATTTAAAATGAGATACTGTGCTAAGTGCTCTATGGGCGCATCTGACCCTCAAGAGGCCTTGCAAGGGCAGAGCCAGGCCAGCACCCCTCGATAGAGCAAGGAGCAGACACAGAGGGCTTGTGATGAGGTTGGGTCACAAGAGCCAGAGCCAGGACTGGACACCAGATCTGTTTGACTCTAAAACCCCTCCTTCTCCTGTCCACAGCCTCCTTTCCTGCAAAACTGTGGGGAATTTCTCTAAAGCACGTTACCCACTTTCCTACAGAAAGCCACAAAAACACAGGACTTCACATGCTCAGCTGGTAGCAGGGCCAGTACCACACTGCGCTTGTGAAGGTGTCTGTGGGGAATCTCTGCTCCTGGGCCCCGGGTTGGCCACCTTACTTTTGCTTGTGACGTGCAGCTGTGAACATAGTCGGGGCAGCCAGAGGCAACCAGAGAGCCAAGTGGCTGGGCAATAAGACCACCCCCTCATGGGCTAAGTGCCTACTGTGTTCTTCCTTCTCCAAAACCTTGTCTATTTGATGACACCTGGTGGCTGCCTAAAGGCACCAGCATTCTGGCCATCAGGACAGCAACACTCTGCTTTGCTGCAGGAAGAGAGAGTCGTGTCATTGTCCTTACATTCCTGCTCCCATACCTGGGGGGAAAGGCAGAGTCTGCATCTTCAGAACATTCATGTCACCCCATCCTGGACCCTCAGACCAGGTCAAGTCACGCACTGGGCTTTGGAGAGACCAAACACTGATGTTTGTCGAATAGTTCCCAAGCCTCCACTACCCTGATGTTGGGAGGAGAGAGCTGTCAGGTAAAGTCCTGAATCCTGTGGCTGGGCCCTTAGGTTTTGGGGGAGGGAGAGGGAGGATGGCAGAGAGATTCTCAGACTGGAAGAGCTTTGGGGATGAGTGTTGCACCACAGTTTGACCTGGATGTCCCTCAAAGGCACATGTATTAAAAGTTTAGTCCCTGGCTTGCTTCTATTGAGGTGGGGAGCTTTAAGAGGTGGGCCTTAATAGGAGGTCTCAGGTTCATTGAGGTTTGCTCTGGGAGAGATAGTGGGACCCAAGCCTTTCCTCTTCTTCTTTCTCTCCCTCTGCAGCTTCTCAGATGCCATAAGCTAACAACTTTGCTGTACCCCACACCCCACAGCATGATCGGCTGCCTCACTACAGGCCCAGAAATAATGGGGTCAACCAACCAGAGGCTAAAACTTCTAAAACATGAACCAAATTCTTGGGGGGCTTTTTCCTTTTCTTTCTTTTTTCTTTTTCTTTCTTTTTTGTTTTGTTCTGTTTTGTTTCAGATAAGGCCTGTCTCTATTGCCCAGGCTGATATTGAACTTGTGGGCTCAAGAGATCCTCCTGATTCAGCCTCCTATGAGTAGCTGGAACTACAGGAAACCACCATGCCCACTAAAAACTTTCCTCTTCTTTAAAATTGATTGTCTTCAGTATTTTGTTACAGTAACAGAAACCTAACACAAATCCTATGCCCTCATGTCATAGATGAAAGAATGAAGCAAGAATGAGAAAGGGAATTTGTTCGGCACTAAGCAAGTCAGTCTGCTGAACATTCAGGCTGGTGCTTTGTCTAATCCCTGCAGGCCTTTGTTTGAAGCCTACATTCATGGGGAATTCACCACCTTCCAGACAGTCTGGACCTACCCTTTGTTGTATATGGGAGGGTCTCTTCCTCTGAACTCACACAAGGATGTCCTCTGGTCCAGCTAAAAGGGCTGCTGTCCCACAGCATGGACCCAAATTGTCCACTGCTGCTGCCCTCCCTGAGGTCTGTCCTCAGAGGTGCAGAGTGTAGACTCCAGAGATGTGCATCCCTGGGCATGTGGGTGGGTCCACTTCTGCTGGGTGTGCTGCAGATGGGGGTGGGCCCAGGATCTGCTTTTAATGACAGTTCAGACAGCTGGACTCTGTCTGTTCTGGTAGGTAAATTACAGGCTTGGCAAGTTCAAAATCAAATAAACACTCCAACTCCCAGTGGCTGCTCCAAGGAGAACAGTGGTTTCCGGGAACAGTGGAGGCTGAGACAAACCTCCCCACCCAATGCAGCCTAATTACCACCTGTCACTCCCCTGGGACAGGGGCCTTTTCTTTGACTCACAGGTCCCAGAAACAGGACAGGGCTGCTGGGCATCCAGGGTGATGCCAACTGTGATGACCAGCCGCTTCTTAATTCCCAGGCATAAGCAAACACTGACAATCCTCGCCCTTGTTCCGTGCCTGGTCAGCCTGCCCATGGCCATGCCCCAGGTGGAGTGGATTGCTCCTCAGTGGGGAGCTGAGTTCATTCCAACTGAGCAGCTCTCAGTAGCCACTTGTGTTCTGTGCTGAGGGTGCAGAGGGCCCATCCAGGTGCAAAGGGAGAAGTATACAGAGTGGTCACAGATGGTGGCCACAGGAAAAGGAACACCATTGCAGCCATGTCCTTGTTTCTGCTGAGAGGTCAACGTCTCAGTGCCCAGCCCCAAATAGATCATCCTGGCGGAGATGACTGTGGGAACCAGAATCCTCCAAGGTTCTTTCTTTCAGTGGGAGTCAGGCCTCTTCCCCAGCACAGGCCCAGGAAAGGGGAAATCACAAGCAATAAAATGTCCCCGCCGCCTCACCTTAAGTCACGGGGCCCAGTCAGCTTGTTCTTTTTCTAATAAGCTAACAATGCCCAAGGGCCAAGTCAGTGGAACCCAATAATACACCGAACTCAGGACATGTACATGCCCAATTATGCTCCACAAATGCCCAAGTGGTAGACCTGAGAAGGGACAGAACCCTTCTGCCCATCTCGGACCCTGTGGTAAATGGTACAGAGCCCCATTCAGCCAGTTGCAGTCTCCTTAGACCATCCAGGGTTGGCCACAGCCTGGGCCAGCGATGCCATGGACAGGTCCTCTGTCAGGACTTCAGCGCAGGCCCCCAACCAAGGAGGCACAGCTCTGAGGCTGCTATGTGCATTTGGCCCTTTGATGGCAGTGTTGGGGCGTTCAATGCCACAGACCCCAGGAGAAAGGCGTGGAAGAGCCTGGAAAAGACAAGAAGCTTGGCAGGAGAGAGCAGTGGAAGGAGGGGTTTCCCCATTACAGTGAGCCCTGAGCACTTATGAGGGTCCCCTGCATCTGGAGAGGAGCCTGATCCAGATGGGGAGGGACAGCAGCAGCAGAGCAAGTGGAGGGCCTCAGTGGCAGCCGCAGGCCTTGACCACCATGTTGCGGTGCTTGCGCAGGATGACATTGTTGCTGCTGTCATAGTAGAGCACAGAGGTGGCGCTCAGCTTGGTGGGTGCACAGCATGCCTTGGGGACTGTGTCTGGCTTCATCAAATGCACCTGGCCAGGGAGGAGACACGGGGTGGGATCATGAGCTTAGCAGTCTCTTCCTAGAACCTACCCAAGCCACCCTCTGCTGCCTGCACTGGCCTGTCCTACAGGTATCAGCCCCCAGCCCCATCCAAGACCACTCTCCACCTGTTTCCACCAGGCACATCTGCCCTGCTCACTGCCCTGGACACACAGCTGGACACCTGGCACTGCTGTCCAGGTCCTGCACACCGGCTCCTCAGCTCTCTGGGTCCCCTGCCCACCCCTGCCACATCTGCTACCTCCACACGTGGGCAACATATGCTGGGGCGCACCTGCAGCCTCTGCTTCCCCACGCTTTACACTTCTACTCTATCCCCATGGGGTCCGTCATTAGCTGTGCACAGGTCTGTCCCTACACAGCTGGAGTGTGGGGAGCGTTCATGGAACCAGTGGATGAGACCTAGAGCCTGGGTGTGCTCCCCACTCAACAACAGCGGCCAAGGCAAGGAATGGTCTCTGCCAAGGATGAACTGAGGCCACACAGTGGGCTACGTGACAAGCCTGAGTGAAGCAGGACTGGAACCAGGTGCCAGATCCCTCACCCCCACTAAAGCAGCCTTTACCCTCCCCAAAGAGCTGAAGGAGCCAGCGGTTTCCAGGATGAGCTGCCATTTATCCTGGATCCCTCACAGGACTCACACACACGGGTCCTGGGAGACAGCACCGCCACCTACGAGGGGAGCCAGAGAGCCAAGGAACCAGCTTCCCTCCTGTGTGTATGGCTGCTCCAAGGCCTCACTGCTGCTGACCAGGACCTGGATGAAGCTGTGTGATGCTGCCCTGGCTCCCTTCTCCTGGCCCTAATTCTGAGCCAATCTGCTAGGGAGGACTGTCACCAGACACTGTAGCATAAGGGCCAGAAGCCTCTGGAGGGATATGCAGCTGGTCTGGACCCTGGAGGCTGCTGATCCCAACTTTCCATCTACAGGCCACATGGGAGGACCCAGGAGATACCAGCCTCCTGTGCAGTCCAAGGGTCCCTAAGTGGCTAGAACCCCAAAGGACCTTCCCTGATCTGGGACATGGGAGGGAAGTCAGCACCACAGGATGCTGGTGCTCCTTGCTCCTGCCCTGAGCCCTGAGCTTCACCAGGAGTGAAACAGAGGGTGATGCCCTTTAATCCATCAGCACCCACAGACTGATTTGTGGAGCGTAAGGTGTCATCCATTCAATTTATTATTATTATTATTATTATTATTATTATTTTGTATAGGGAATTGAACCCTGGGGTACTCTAAATTGAGCATCCCCAGCTCATTTTACTTTTTTTTTTTTTTTAAATAGTGCTGAGGATTTAACCCAGGGCCTTGTGCATGCGAGGCGAGCACTCTACCAACTGAACTATATCCCCAGCCTTCTTTTTACTTTTTATTTTGGAGCAGGATTTTGGCTAAATTGCCCAAGCTGGCCTTAAACTTGAGACCCACCCTCCTGCCTCAGCTTCCCATCACTGGGATTAAGGTGTGTGTCATTGCACCTGGATCAATTATATGGAAGAAGTGCTGGAATTCAGAGACTATGTATCCTTGAGGACAAATTATATATCTAGAGACCACAATATTCTCTGAAGAACACAGAGAAACACACTTTTCTCATTCTCAATACGCTGTGTCTGTACAGGAGCCAAGGGGAGCCAGGATTCTCCCTGTTCTCATAGCCTTGTGGGAAATAGATGGGGAGAGGGTAGCATTTCAATGGACATGTTGTAGTGGCACCCTCTCCTCCACAGAAAATTTTAATTAAGCTTCTCCAGAAATCTTCACCATAATCGATTTTAGGACTACCAGCAGAAGATTCTCTACAAAAGTGTTAAATGTAGTTAAACTTCCTATTATCTGTTGTTCTGTCTTACTTTTGGGCCTGAAAGAGATCAGCACTCCAGGTGCTGAACACCCCATTTGTGGAGTGTAAGTAAAGTTTTTCACAACCATTTATCCAGTATAGTAGTTTGTAGAAGTGTGTCTGCAAATGCAGAGTGTGTTAAGAAAAACAGATTCTCTTAACTAGGCTTTTGGCCTTGGGCCGGAGCTTCACAGAAATGTTTACATTTCAAAAGTAAGAGAAGAAGTTACCAACTGGGCTCCATGGTAACAGCTGGCAGGGGGAAGAAAGAAAGGGGAGAAGAAGCTCTCCCCTTCTCAGGTGTTGTCCTTGAAGGGTTAACCTGCCCAGAACAGTGGAAGAAAAAGGTGCTTTATGTGAACTTCTGCAGACTGTGAACTCCTGAGCCCCTCCCCTTACATGCTGGGTATAAAACTCTGAAGCTACCTGAACTCGGGGTTCAGGGGATTGATTGATTACAGCAAAAGCTGTGCCCTCTGAACCTGGCTGCAGCCAAATAAAACTGTTTCCTGCTATCTTCGGTGACCTACCTCGTCTGTCCCCTGCAAAAATGTGAGGGTGGCCTGGTAACAAAAGTTACCAGAGTCCTGGTGGCCAGCTGAGAATGGGAAGGACATGTGGCTGGGGGATGTTGCACAGGGGGACAGGGGGCTGATGAGGGGCCTGTGTCCCAGGCCAAAGGCTCAGACTTCCTCTGGGAAGAATGGGAAGCCCCTGAAATCTCTTGGCTGAGAATGATGTAGGCAGGTTTGTTGTAGGAAGATCCTGCTGGCTGCTGTGTGGACAGTGGCCCCGTGGGTGGGCCTGGGGGGGACCCCCTTCTCCTCTTGGTCCTCAGGACACGAGGCTTGCTCACCTGGCTATATCCCAGCCTCCCACAGACCCCCGTGGCTCCTTCTCCTGCCCAGCCCCTGGGAGCCCCACCTTGTCCTGGCCATCTCTCCTGCACTGCTGCAGGGGTCTCATCTGTTCTCACCACTTGCAGACCCTCCACATGTGGCATCTCTATTCTGAACGTCCCCTTGGACCTCTGTGTACAACTGCAGATGTTTGATTCACCTGAACATTCGACCTCGTGGGGTGGACGGGGCCTCAGCAGGGCCACTCACTTCCTCCGACCCTGACAACAACTCTGCCCATGTCCAGCCTCCCATCCTGGTCCTGGGAACTCTGAATGGAGCCTCATCCACCCAGTTGCTCAGCCCCACCTGCCTCCCGCCTCCCTCCCCCTGCTCCTAAGTGGGGAGGGCGCTCAGCCCCCACCAGTCATGCTGCTTGGGAACCACTTCCATGACCAAGCTGCCCTCCCCTCCCATCAGAGGACAAGATAGCCCCTCATTCCTCTCCCCGCCCCTTCCACCTCCCACTCCCCTGGGCCACCCCGACACTGCCACTACAGAAAGACTTCTACCCAGGACTCCAGCTCTGCTTTGCTAAACCCCTGAATTGTTATTTACTTGGAATAAAACCTGCTCTCCTCACAGGGAGCCCGAGCCTGCCTCAGTGGCCCTGCCAGCCCAACTCCACCACCCTCGCCCTCCCTGCCCTCCAGCCCCTGCTTCCTGCTGGCCCTGAACCCACCCAGCTCCATCTCAGGGCCCTCTTCCTCCAGCTCCTGACAGGGCTGCTCCCCCAGTGCAGAGTGGCCCAGTCCAGGCTCCCTCCACCCAAAGCCCAGCGATCCCCGTCTCCCTAGAACACATCTCCTTTGTCGCTGGTTTGCGTTTGTGCTCACCACAGCCTCCGAGGGTGTTCACATTTGCTGAGCCACTGTGGGCCTGCAGAGGCAGAGGCTGAGGACATGTGGGCAGGGGACAAGTCCTGCGGAACCACTGCCCCATGCAATAGGAAGCTCAAGGAGGCACCATCAAGTTCATTACTCTCTAAGGTGTCACCTCTGAACAACCTCCTACTAGGAAAACAGTCCAGGGGATTCTGGGACCAGCATCTAGGTTGCAGTCACCAGAGTCAACACACACATCACACTGGCAATAAGCAACAGCAACTACGCTCATGCGAGAACCTTCTTCCATGACCAGAAGGTGCCCAGTCCCTGAGGCACCGCAAGCCCAAAACCTGAGAAAACAAACAGCCAGGAAAGAGCTGGGAGGGGCCCCAGGGGAGCCACGCCCACAAGTGCAGAGACACACCTGGCCAGGGGCCCCACCAGGCAGGGGGTGTCCACGCCCACGTCACGCACATGTGTGCACTTGTGTCAGGGAAGCTAGACCCACCAGGGTTCACAGGACTCAGAGGAGTGGAGCCTGCACCAGGCTGGGCAGCCACACACAGGTCTGTCTGGGTGCCACACGTGCACACGCAGGGCACAGAGTGTGTCTGGGTGCACGCTGACTAGCGTGCACATGCTTGGGTGGGTGCCCGTGAGTCTCCCTGCAGGCTGTGGCCATGTGAGAGCCTGGGCCTGTGACGGAGTCCCTGCAGGTGAAGCGCCTCTCAGCAGCTGCTTGCACCACCCTCCTGGATGACGAGCCCCCTGTCCCCCACCCCTGACCAGGACCGCGGCACTGACCAGGGACTGCAGGATGGCATGGTTGGTGGCGTTCATGCAGGAGTCCAGCGGGAAGGAGCACTCTCCCTCACAGTAATAGGCCGAGTAGCCTCGGGGGGCGATGACCCAGTCCTGGGGGGAATGGGAGAAGGTGAGCCCATCTCCGTGCCCCCTGACCAGCCCCTCAGCCCAGCACCTACCACAGGACCACCCAGGGCTGCCCCTTACAGTCCCTAAGCCTCAGGACCCAGCCCCACCCTCAGGACCCCTGGCAGTCTCCACCTGAGGCTTGAATCCACCTGGAGACCCTCAGTACACAGGATTGGGCCTCAGCTCTGTCCTTGTCACATGCCACCCTCCCTCTGCTTTGTCCTCCCTGGCCTGCCCCCCACCAGCTGCAGTACATGCTCCTCTGCCCACCCCAGCCTCAAAAAAAAAAAAGAAAAAAAGGAAAGAAAGAAAAAGAAAAGAAAAGAAAAGAAAATCTCATTATAAAAGTGAAAACTTTTTCATTTAGGAAACTTAGCAAATCCAGAGGAAAGAATTATGTGAAGAGGAACCAAAGCCACACGTGATGTCCCCTCCTGCCTGAAGGGACACTTGGGGTCTGCAGGTGGGGCTGCCATCGAGGAGAGCAGAGTCCGAAATTACCAGCCAGCCGAGGTCCTGGAAGCTGACATAGAGCTCGTGCCGACGGCACACCTGCCGCCCGTGGGAGCCGTGAGCGTCATCTGCAGGGACAGACGGTGCAAGGCCTTTTCCGGGGTTCCTGCTCTGTGCAGGTCCCCTGGGGTGCTCCCAAGGTGGGGGACACACTGGTGGGCACATTTAGCAAATAAAGGAGCCACAAGAAACTAAACCACTGGGCCTCACGGAGCTCATCCCTGGATCCCCGCTGGTGCCATGACCCAGCTCATCAGCCTTCAAGGGCTCCCGATCACTACAGAGTGACCCGTGACCAGCTGCACCTCCTTGTCTTTCAGCCTGGGACCTCCTCCACGGAGCTTCCCAGCAGCACCCTCCCACTGCCGCTTCTGCTTTCCTCGGCAGGCACCTCTCGCCCCAGCCCACCCTCCCCACCACACTCGTTCCACAGTCAAGCCCAGGGCTCGGTCCCCACCAGCCAAGGTTCTGCCCATGAAGGAGGCCTCAGACCTGGGCCCCGCCTGGCCCTCACCAAAGATCCCTGGGAGTTTGTTGGGGTACGGCAGCTCGTTGGTCTTCTTCGGCTGCCTCCTCTTTAGTGGCCTGACTGCCCGAGGGGCACGGATGGGACTCGGGCTGGCCCTGAAGAAGGTGACCATGAAAGGCTGTCTGGAGCGTGGTGCCCGTTGCCCCAGCAGGCCAGCCAGGCCAGGATCCACACTGTGCCCTGAGAGAGAGGAGAGAGGGTCACTCATGGGAGGGGGTCCACCATGGACCCAGTAGGGACTCTGCTCCTCAGCAGGAGCTGCAGGCTGAGGGCCCAAGGGGACCCACTAAGCCTCAGTTTCCTCACCTGAAACCAGAGTCCTAAGTCCACTCCAGGTCCCTGGAGGGCATGCCTGGGGAGGCAGGTTGGGGAGGCCTCAGAGACCCCAGCCTCCAGCTGACAGTGACATGGACAGTGAAGCATTTGCCAGGCTTGAAAGTCTTCCCCACTCGTTGCCTCACTCGACTTTATAGTGTCCCTGTGTTTCACACTTGACAGAAGAGACATCAGGGTCACTTGGGATGACCAGAGTCCACTGTTGGTGACACTCAGAACCACAGCACCCTCCTTGGTGGCAGGACCAGAGGCTGTGTGCTGTCTTGCACGCGCACGCTCTGCCATGTGAAGTGTGATTCGTGACACCACCTGCTCGTGACGGCCTCCACCTGGACACAGCAGGGCTCACTCTGCCCAGCGCAGCCCAAGAGCAGGGCAGTCACTGCTCCCTGCTGTACATGTGCCAGGCACTGGGCTCAGGAGGGCAGAGACCAAGTCCCAGAGAACAAAACCCAGAGCCAGGCTCAGCCTCATTGCAGGGCCCAGGTTCACGTTCACCAGGCCAGGCTGGTGGTTTCAAGACCTGTGCCTCAGCCCTAGGATGAGTGGAGCCTCAAAGACAGGATTTCACCCCCTCACTGCTACCAGCTGAGGATGCCATGAAAAGCCCGTTCACCCTGGAGGTGCCAGCAGAACCACCCTGTGCTGGACGCCCTGCACGTGGCCTCTGCTCTTTTCTCTTTCCTTTCTTTCTTTCTTCCTTTTTTTACTGTGAGCAGGGGTAATAACCACAGTAGAGAAACTCTTGAGAGGAAACCCCTCCCCAACTCCCACCGCTCACTGTCCTTTTCCCTGGCTTTTTTCATGATGCACACTCCACACAGTTGTCAACACAGCAAAGAGGTCTATTTTCCAGCTTTCTAAGGTAAACCTTCTCCCAGTTGTTGACAAACGTCTCCACTACAAACCTGTCAAATGATAAAGCCTCTTTGAGCAGATCCACCCTAATCTCCTTAGGTATTAGCTCATCCTGAGGTTCTTGTCTGGCTTTCGGTATGAAGAGCACGATGGGGACCTCTTCCCTCTGCACCCTCATGAAGCTTCTCACACTGAGCCACAGAAATGCGATAGCTGCTCATTTTCGTCTTTCTCAACAGCACCCATCGCTCAGTTCACATGAGTCCATTTCACCTCCGGGTCTAAGCACCAACACACACATATCCATCCACACACACTCATTACATGTGCATAGAAACACACACACACACACACACACACGATACATTTATATGCACATTGTATATACAGGCTTATTTATTCCACCTGGAGCCACTGGGTTCTCCATTCCACACCACAGGTCAAGGACACTGGCTGCCCCACCCAAAGTCAGTCCTTCAGCTGCTAGGCCTCAGACCAGGTGTCCACTGGCCACTCGATGAAACTCAGAGACCAACCTTTGACCTATGGCATCACCTGCCACAAACAAATGAACTGGGCCTGTGAGGCTCCTTCTCAGGAATGTGGATGAGATATGTTGAGACAGGGGCTGTGACCTGCAAGTGCTGGCTGGCACTTGGCCCAGAGAGAAGCCCTGAGGGGCATGTGGGTTATGGTGGGGAAGCAGCTATGTGGAGGCAGAGCCACAGGTGCAGAAGAAAAGGCAAGGGAGGTCACCACAGGGACAGGTGGAGTGACAATGAGCAGGGAGGGTGGTGACAGTCACAGCGTGGGCATTAGAGTAGTCCCCACAGACTGGCTGACAGTGGCCTCAGACCCAGGGCAAGATCCAGCCTGTGTGTACCACTGGTGCCCTCCTCAGGAACCCTGGGCCCTGGCTACCCCATGACCAGGAGGGCTGTCCATGCTCCAGGCTGTGTTCAAGGGTCTCAAGTGGTCTGTAGGCACAGATCACAAGCCACATGAAAACAGTTACACAGCAGACCTGTACAGGCTCCTTGAGGGTGGCCTGGTAGGGTCTGGGGACTTATGCATGTGTGTGTGTGAGTGTGTGTGTGTGTGTGTGTGTGTGTGTGAGAGAGAGAGAGAGAGAGAGAGAGAGAGGTGAACTGAATTGAGGGCCCTTGGATGCAGCCAACCCAAGGTTTGTATTTATAGGAGCAGGGCAAGAGGACTGACACTGGTCATCTCTCAGTGCTCTGCATCTGGCAGGTCTGGGGAGGTCACCTCTTCCCCAGGACAAAGTCTCCCTTACCCACCAGCTCTGCTCTTCATCTGCCCCATCCTTGGGCAGGGCCCTGGCTCCCACTGGCTGCAGACAAGGCCCAGGCAGGCCTGGCAGTGGCCCCAGGATGCCCAGCACTGGGCAAACCCCATCCCAGAAAGGCAGAGGTGGGGGCTTCAGGAGACTCTGGGGCCCAGGGCTGTGCTGCTGGCCTGAGCATGTGAAGGTGCTGGTGGGTATGCCACCCCTTTATTCTTGCTGTGGGGTACACTGTGGTCTTCCCCCATGGACCTGTATGGAACACCATGAGGCCCCATCCTCACCTCATGTCTAAGCCTTCCCATTAAGGCCAGATGGGCTGGCACCTCACCTGGCCTATCCTGACCCCTGGCAGCGCTTAAGCCCTTGGGCATACCAACACTGTCCTAGGCCAGATTTTGCCCCATATCTCCTCCCTAAGGCTTCTTTCTGTTCTGATGCCAGCTTGCTCTTCCTTCAGTCCCCTGCCCCACCTCAGCCTGAGTGCAAGTGACCCTGGAGCCACATGAAGGAGAATTCAGGGGCCTGTTGAATCCCAGGAGTGTCCCAGGCCTGCTTCCATCCCTTAGGTCAGCTCTCTCCTCACTCTCCTGGCAGCTCTCCCATGAGCCTGCCTTCCCAGCACTGCAGCTGGAGACTTCTCCTGACCCCCAGGGCAGATCAGGTCTCCCAGAAGCACCAGGAGGGACCACATAGTGCACTCAGGGATATGCCATCCACCCCCACCTGGCTGTGGCCCCTGCCACTTCCCTCACACCCCAGGCTATTCCCACCCCAATCACATGCAGGATCTGTCACTTCCTTGGAGTGAGGCTTAAATGCCACCAGCTGTAGCTGGAACTGCTGCTTGGAGCAAGGTCTCTGGGCTGTGAGGCCTCTGGAGCTGCACTCACTAAGTGCACACTGCCTTCCAGACTAGGCCTTCACAATGCTCTCTCTCTCTCTCTCTCTCTCTCTCTCACACACACACACACACAAAAAAAAAAAAAAATCTATGCTTTTTTTTCACTTTAGATTGTGAGACTATGCATTCAGGATGACATATCCAGAGCCCCTGTTGGGCTCTCAGGGACTATTTCACCCAAGGTCAGTTTGGGCCTCCAGAACAGAATCTGTGTGGATCGCATGGAACACTGCAATTTAATTGGCAAGAACCTGCCCAGGCCATGGGTGGGGTTTCTAGAACTTGCCCTGTGATAAACCGCAGCCTTTGGCAACACGGGGACTATTTATTTATACAGGCTCCTTCCAGGTAGACTGCCAGCACCCACTGCCCCCACCTCAGTCTCTCCCACTCACAGGTCCCCTACCCTGGAGACAGCCCTGCCTTCCTCCTAAAAAGACATCCATTTCCTACCAGGAGGAGTGTGCATGGATGAGGACAGACACAAGAAACAAAACTAGGAACAGAATGCAGGACCTTGGAGGAAAAGTCGGAGGGGCTAAAGGAAAGGCTCTCATGAGGGCAACATCACTTCCGCTCACAAAGTCGTGCTTAGATTTGTGCGTTTTTCAAGGAAATAAAATGACACCTCACAACTGGGTGTGGTGCACACGCCTGTTATCCACACTACTGGGATGCTGAGGGAGGAGGGCTGCATGTTCCAGGCCATCTTGGGCAACTTAGAAAGGTTTTGTCTCAAAAAATGAAAAGGAGGGCACTGGAATGAAATCCTGAGTGAGAGAGTACCGCGTGGCAGAGAGCTCTGCAGCACTCGCAGGACTTAATGATTTCCTTTTGTTTTTAATGAAAGTCACGATGTTCTATCTGGCAGCAGAAGGCCTGAGAGGCCTCTGCAGGGAGCCAAGCGCTGTGTGTCACCAACTTAGGACCTCAGGCGGCTACCGTCTCCCTCCCCAGTAAACCCGCCTGCACACACTCCTCAGGGCCGGCTCTGAGTCCTGTTGCTACCTGCAGCATGGGCTTGAGGTTCGGGGACACGGCAACTGTCCGTGCTGATCTTGACCTCGACCTCAGTGGCGCCTTCACAAAGCTCCACCAGCGTCAGCCCCCTGTTTCCAAGCACGTCAAACACGGCCTTCTCAGTGATGATGCGGTCCACGGAGCGCTTCCTCCATAGCGGCAATGTGCACTTTCCCACGATTTTGGGGGTCTTTGCCTTGGTGCAGTGCTCCATGGTGACCACTACGTTGGTCTTGTCAAGGGACACCAAATCCATGGCCCCGCCCATTCTTTTCACCTCTTTAGCGGTATCATCCAGTTGGCCAGGTCGATGTATTTGGAAATCTGCATGGCCCCCAGTATGGTCATCTGATGTTTCCCCCGTGAATCATGACAAAGGAGTCATCACTGGTAAAGAAATAGCCCCCTGGGATCACGGTGACAGCTTGCCTGCGTTGATGACATCTAGATCCACCTAATCTTTCCATGGAAATGGGCCCAAGCCCAGGATTCCGTTGTCACTGTGCAGACAGATGAACTGTCATGTCAGGGCTGACGAAGTTGCTGGCCAGGAGAGGGATTCCGATGTCCAGACTGGCATACGTGCAGTCCTCAGACTCAAGAGCTGAGAGCGTTTGATCATGCGCATCCTTTGTCGTCTTCCAGCGGGGCTTTCCCATCTTCCTTGCTCCGTGGGACTAAACGCTAGGGTTTTTTCTCTTATTTCGGCCCCTTTATCACGCGATCTACATATATGGTGGGGACAGAGATATCTTCTGGGAGAAAAGTCCCCACGTCCACGATTACTTCCACCTCCACCACCGCGACATCCGCAGCGTTGCACATGCGCACGTTGAGAGTCCTGGCGCTTTCTTTGAAGATCACGTTGGCCGCGAGTCCACCCCTTCGCCAAGACGAAGTCTGCCCTCATGGCGTACTCCTGGAGGTAGTGCTGGCCCCGGAACTCTTTCACCTGTCTTGGCTGGCTCTGGATGGCCAGGCTGCCGTTGGGGTAGTACCTGATGGGCACGCCGCCTTCCTGCACCGTGCTGTAGCTGGTGGGCGTGCAGAAGGCGGGGACCCCGGTGCTGCCCCCTGGATGCGCTGGACCAGGGTGCCCTGCGGCGTAAGCTCTAGTTCCAGCTCGCCCTCCAGCTACCGCTGCTCGCACACCGTGTTTTCGCCCAGGTGGGAGCAGACCACGCTGCGGACCTGCTTGGTGGCTAGGAAGAGGCCCTGGCCGAAGTCGTCCACGCCCACGTTGCTGCTCACCACTTCAGGTCCCTCTCGGCGGTCCTTAGCAGCGCGGCCATCAGGTTCTCGGGATTCCCGCAGAGCCCGAACACCCCCGACTCCAGCATGACGGTCGCCCAGTTGCGGATGTCCTTCACCGTCTCCTCCGCGTCCATGTAGAATAGGCGCCGGACCAAGGGCTGGTGGCGGAGCGGCGGGCGCAACCCTGGGACAGCGCTGGCCCAAGCGACTGGCAGGGACGTGGAGCCGCAGCCCCGCCACGGTCAGTGGGGCTCTGAGGTCAGAACAGGTCGGCTGCACCAGGAGAGTGTTCCTCTGGCCGCAGGGAGGGCGCCGCATCCCGGACGCCGCCTGGGACGCGCTCCGCGTGGGGGCGCCACCACTATCCCTACTTCCCCGCCTGCTCCCCACCGAAACCCAAACCCTGCCGAGCTTCCTGAAACTCAGGAGCTAGAGCACTGCAGGGTGACCTGACTGGGATGGTGTTTGAAGGTGATAGGCGCCCGTCACAGCATTCAGTGGTGCCAGGCGCTCACACTGGTTTATTTCCGCTGACACCCTGCAGTGAGTGCACCCACACCTGTGGCGAGTTAAGCTCCCCCTTCTTGAGCGGGGAATCTCAGAGCGTCCTTTTCAAAAAACCTTTGTCAGAACCTGTTATCACCCATTGCTGCTAAACTACCCCTAGAAACCCCAAACGCCTGGCCCGGCTGTTTACCCGGGCTCACAGTGACCCTTGCCCACCCTCAGCCTCCTTCCTAGGTCTCCCTCCTGCCCTCTGCTCCTCCATGTGGCCCTCTCACTGGACCTCAGACAGACCAATCTTGTGCTGGCCTTGGCCTTTCCATCCACTGCCTGGTATAAAGGCATGCTCCCCCAAATTCCTGTATGTGAAAGAGAGAGGGAACCTCATTCTGTGGATGAGGAAACTGAGTCTTGGGAAGGTAAGTATGTCACCAACTTAGGACCTCAGGCAGCTGGGATTCCAACCACAGCCCCTCACTCAGCCTGAGGATGAAGCCACTTCCCCCTACTGTTCTTGGAGCACAGGAACTGCCAGTGTGGAGGGCCTCTTGCAGGGGGAACTGCCCCCTCCTGGGGAAGGACACTTGGACTCTCAGCACCTCAGATGTTCCTCAGAAGAAGGGGAGGAAAAGCAGCTCTGGCTGAGGGCATCCTTGTGTCCAGGACCTCACTGTCTCTACCCACTGGAGTCTTCACAGTGGGCACAGAGAGAAAGGCCAGGCAGCCAGGAACCGGTGAGGCCACACTGGACAGTTCTAGAGGCCTCAGCTGGCACAGCCTCCTGGAGCCCCAGGGGAGCTCACCCAGCCCAGACCCTGAGCCTCACCATCCTCAGTTTCCACATAGAGACGGAGTCCCAGGTCCTTGTTACGGTTCAGCAACCAGCGGTCACTGGCTGCTGTGACATCCAGCACCAGCCAGCCCTCGTCCTCAGCTTGAAGCGTCTGAAGATCCAAAAAGAACAAGTCAGACTCCCTGTGGACACGAAAGAACAATTAACTGATGGCTGAGGGCCGGTCCAGCTGCCTCTGTGGGTCTCGTGCCACCTGGGGACCACTACTGGAACATCTATCCTGCCCTGGCTCTGAGCTCTGTCTGTGCCTTATTTCACTGATAATCAACTCAAAACATGGTACTGTGCAGGTGGGGAAACTGAGACTCAGTGGCTCAGTGACCCGTCCAGGGGCCCACAGTCAGGATGGCAGGGCAGGAACTGTCTGGCCCAGCATCTTTCCCATCTCTGAGGCTCTTCTCCCAGGAAGCTCCCCTTTCTTTCTCTGGGAAATCCCCTTCCCCCCAGGTGGGGCAGGACACACTGCCAGAGCCTTGACCAGGAGCCCATGAGATGGGAGGTGCCTGGGCCGAGGGAGGCACCTGTTGGAGTGCTCCTGGACCACCTCGAACATGCTGATGTGGAGCGTCGTGTTGAGGGGGTGGGTGCTGGGCAGCTTATAAATCCGGAACTCTGCAGCTGTGACAGCCTCCCCTGCTGGGATCTGGGTCAGATCAAAGCGGAACTCCTTCCAGTGGGGCTCCTGGTGGCCCAGGGCGCGGTCACGTTCCACTGGAAAACAAAGTGGGAGCCAGGTGGTCACATGTGTTTGGAATGGTTCAGGCTCCAGAGCAGGCAGAGCCAAGTGTTAGCTGCCACGACCTAATGGCTGTTCTTCAAAGGGCCCTGCGCAGCCTCCGTTGGGCCAGCCTCCTCCTCTACACATGAATCTGTTCCTGACTCTGCTGGGGGAGTGTCCTGAACACAGAGCCCAGGGACAGAAATGCTCAACAGGCCAAGCCTAAAACTCATCCAATGCCACCTTGTCTCCTTGATGGCACCAGCATCCATGATAAAGGGCAGAAGGCTCTCCTCTGGGAACTCCCAGTCTAAAGGGAATATGGACATGGGACCCAAGGCAGAAAAAGGCATTAGTCCCATGGGACTACCTGGCTGCATTACAGTGGGACAGTGACTTCCCAGAGTCTGCCTTTGTGCCTGGATGGGAGGTGGGGGAAGGGGAAAGCTCAGATCTGACATCTGAGCCAGGCCGTGAGGCCTGAGTGCAAATTAGCCTCAGTGTTCAAGGAGGGGGGCACTGCAGAGGACAGTAGAGTGAGGCCAAGGATTGAAGGACCAAGGGCAGGGAGGGACAACCACTGCCAGAAACTATGGGAGACAAAGGACCCAAGGACAAGGGGAAGAAGGAAGGAGGGAGAAAGAAGGAACAAGGAACACCAAGGTAGGAATGACAAGCTCCCGGAAAGTTCTAGAAAGTCAGAGGGTTCATGGTGTGGTGACATCTGAGCTGGCCTTGACAAATGGGAAGGCATATCGATAGATGGTGAGGTGGCAGGGTGAGCTCTAGGCTGAGGGGAGTGGTGTGTGTGGGTGAGGAGTGCTGGGGACCACCCACTGATTCGCTCCCTGGGTGCAACAGTGGGTCTGGCTGGGCCCGCTTTATGGGGGGCTGGAGCCCTGGGCTGAGAAGTGAGGCTATGACTCTGGCCAGTGGGCAGCAGTGTGGTCTGAGAGGCACCCTGTGCTGGCAAGGGTGGAGGGTGAGACAGGCAGAGGGTGAGACCTGAGGTGGGGACTGGCCCAGCTGTCTGGGCAAAGGCCACAGCTGTGGAATAATTTGCCCAGCTGCACAGACCTGCTCAGATGGTATATTTAGGGCAGTCTCACTTTAGCTCCCTGTCACTTATGTCAAAAATCTGTGTTTCCGGAAAGCAGGGTGGGAGTTGCCCAGTGCCTTCCCTAAAACCCAACACTGAGATTTTAATTGTATGTTTCTGAGTCTTTTTAAAACCTTCCGTGGTTACTGGGTTCAGTGACCACAGGTCAGGTTTTAAAAAGCACCAGGCTGAGCTGCCAGATGGATGTGGGAAGCACTTCCTGTCTTTGTGGTCCCCACATGTCATCCCTGGTCCAGGAATGGACGGGCACACAGCTGTGCTGGGTGGAGCCAGGGGATAGGCATGTTAGGGCAGGAGCAGGTGGGAGGCTTCATCCCCTGCCCAGGGAGGAGAAATGGGATGGAGCATGCATGTCCCACCATGCATCAGGGTGCTGTGCACAGAGTGCATGCCAACCTGAGGGCTTGGCTGTTTCAGAGGCAGTGTGACAAGGCGAGGTCCATGTCCCTCCTGCATATGCAGATAGCATTGAGGGCAGGATTCTGGACCTTTGCTGAGTGATTCTTGTGTGGTGAATAACTACACCCATGTGTCCTGCCTATAGACAGTTATACACATACAACTCTGGTGACAATTTAAGTGGTTTCAGGAATGACACAGATACCTCTGTTGCATGGCTATGAAAAAATTCCTGATTTTTAGGATGAAATAGATTTAGGCTGTTGGCTGTCACAGGATGTGAGACCGACCGTGAAGGAGGATTCCTCAGGCACTCTATTCTCCTGACTTCATTCAAAGCATTATTATGTACATCATTATGTCACTGTGGGGTTGACAGGTGCATTCTGAGGGCTCCCTCTTGGGTCTGGGGACTGAAGGAACAATCCACAAACCTGCCAACTCTGTGGCTCCCAAGCTCTGTAGCTGCCCTCCCTTGATGACCATGTGACCTGCATAGACTGTCTCAAAACATTCTTGTTCAATCTCCAAACTTCTGTCATGGTTTGTGAAATCAATAAACCAAGCAGGGATTCCAGCCCAGGAAACTGCCCAGCCTGGCTCTTCTAGGCAAGCACTAGAAGTTGGGAAATTTTTAGGAAAACAGTGAATTTCATCTGAAGTTGATAAAGCTTCCTGAGATGCAGCATTGAAACAGATATTACTGGAACTGGCCAAGGGAAGTGCCCCTTTCTCTGCTGAACCGTATGGATTCCCAGGTGCCCAGTGGCTGCTCCTTTGGATCCAGAGAGCTGCTCTTGTACAAGAGCATTTGTAGGAACCTGGATTTTCCTCTGGTAGTGCTGGGGAAGGCTGTCTCTATTTTAGCCCCTAAGACAGCACTGAGAAGCGTAGCTGATCTGACCAGTAGTTGGTGCTCAGGTTCTGACCCTGCAGCCACCAGGCACTTCCATTGTGTGATCTCAAGTCTCCCTGTCTGTGAAGTGGGGACACTTTTCACACAGGGCTGTGAAAAGGCAAGGACTATGGGACAGAAGTGGCGGCCATTCTTTAGGAAGCAGGAGGGGTGTGACCTCTAATTTCCAAACTTAATAGATGTATTGAAGTGATAGCATCCAGGCAGCTCATCAGGAGAACATGTCTGACACTCAAAAGCCATGGGGTGGGGGAAGGAAGGCATCCACTTTTCTCTTTCTAAATAAAAGTAGGGAGTGAGAAAATATGTCAGTTCAACTGAAAGACATCTGGATGGCTTCCAGGTGTCTCCTCACCCACCTGACATTAGTGACAGCATTTAACCTTTTGGGTTCAGTGTCTACATCTGCAAAATGATCCTTTGATATAGGGCCAAATGGAAACTGTAAAGAGCCAGGTTTGTTACTGTCATTGGTAGTTGGTTATGCTCCAATAGATGCTTCTGACATATTATCCAGGGATATTTCCTTCTCAGTGCATGCCCAGCCCCCACCACATAGCCAAGGTCTGGAATCTCCCAAAGATGCCAGAACTGCACACCACTGGGACTGTCTCCAAGTTCTGGCTCAGACAGAGAGCACCTAATACAACTTGTACTTTTTTTCCCCCTGCAAGGTGCTGTGTGGAAGACCAACCTTACACGTGACTGAGTCACACTCCCCGGCTGGGTGCTGAGGCTCTCAGTCACAGAAATGTGGCAGAGCTTTCCTCACCCTTCTTGGGTTCAAGGGTTGGTGTCTCGTGCATGGGTGTGTCTTGCTACAGTCCCATGGGTGAAGCTATGCTCACCGGTTCCTTTGTAATATAACCCCTTGCCCTGTTTAGGATAGAATCTTCCATAGAAATGCCTTGTGTGTGTGTTCCCTTCTCTTACTGTGCCCTGGGTGTGGTCTACCCAGGTGTCAGTCAACCTGCTGACAATGGACATCATGAAGATAGACTCAGCCCCCTGAAACCTGACCCCTTGCCTCATTTGAATAGCTTCTCCTCAGTAAAAGGGGTCAGCGCGTGCTCTCGCTCTCTCTCTCTTCCTGTGGACTCTTAAGGACTGAGGAGCCCTCACAGCGACCCCAAAGAAAAAGGTACTTGTGTCTCTTGTGTGGTTATTTTGCGCAGCCCAGTTAGCCCAGTTCACATGAGTAACCCCTGAGCCTTTTAGTCGAGAACAGAAACCTGGAAGTGCTGGGTATCAAATCCAGGGCCTTGCATATGCTAGGCAAGCACTCTACCATTGAGCCGTATGCTTAGCCCACTACTTGCACTTTTATGCACATGTGGGAATGGAAACCAGGAGTCCCAGCTGGGCTCCTTCCACCATGGTGGTCCACCACTGTGTTTGCTGAAAAAAAAAAAAAAAAAGCATAAAAACTAAGTTGGAATTGTCTCCTAACAACAAAGCACAAAATGCATGCTGTGAGCTAGGCATGGTGGTGTATGCCTGTAATCCCAGCAGCTCGGGAGGCTGAGGCAGGAGATCGTGAGTTCACAGCCAGCCTCAGCAACTAAGCAACTCAGTGAGACCCTGTCTCTAAATAAAAAAAAAAAAAAAAAAGGGGGGGGGGGTTCTGGGGATGTGGCTCAGTGGTTGAGTGCCCCTGAGTTCAATCCCTAGTACAAAAACATGCTCTGGGTTGAGGGTCCACAGAAAGAATTTGTGGGAAAGACCAAGGTCTGTTCAATTGCTGGCAGTAGAAAGTTCATCCCTGGGTTCCTGGCTGATTCAGATAGGTGTGAGGAGGGTGCCCTCTACCCAGTCACTGTTCTGGATTCCAATAATCTGAGATATGTCCTGCCAGGAATCCTCTCTCCAAGGTGGCCCTGAAAGGGACCATTGATGTTTGGAGCAAGGTTTCTGAATAATAAATTATTCCCTCTCCTTTACAAAATCTGGGGCAGGAATTGCTAATTTCAAGGGTCCCATAATTTCACTTTTGGGCATGTGGGAGAAGATTCCTAACTCCGTTTCCTTCTCAACTTTCTGAAGGCTTCAGTTTTCCCATTTGTTTTTCCTGGTCACATCCAAGAATATTAATCATTTGCTGAACACATTTGGAAGCTGAGCATACTGTATGCAAGTCCCTGTATAGACATGGGAGACACTTCGATCAAAAGACAGACCTCTCCACCAGGGAAGCTAGATAAAAACCACATAAACCACAAGAGCAGCACATGTAATAAGTGGTACCAAGGACGTAAAGAAAGGGTGTGACTGGAAATAACATAGGGAGTATGTGGGGGACCATTTTATTTATGTTTTCAGCTTTATTTTGAAATAATTTTAGATTATTTAGATTTCAAGAAAAGTTGAAAGAATAGTACAGAGACTTCTCATATATTCTTCCTCTAATGATCACATCTTTGTTGTTGTTTGTTGTTACCAGCGATTAAACTCAGGGGTGCTTAACCATTGAGCCACATCCATAACCCCTTTTATTTTCTATTTTGAGACCAGGCCTTGCTAAGTTACTGAGGCTGTCCTTCAACATGTGATCCTCCTGC